GGGAGTCTCCTGATGTTCAACTGAGCCGTGTCTCTGCAGAGATGGCCCAGGAGGCTGGAGGCTGGATCCAGAGGAGCCTCTGGGTTCAGGTATAGAGCCAGTAGCGGATCCCAGGGCTGGGCAGGATTTGCGAGGTCCCATCTCCAGCCTGGCGGTGGAATGCCGTCTAAAACACCCTGAACAGTCAGCCACCTTCTTTGCCTCTGTCAGCATGCGAATCCCAGCTCCAGTGCAGGTTGGAGTATTTTCCTAAAGTAGCTGGTGGGCCTGTGGGTCCTAATTGTGGACGTCATGCGTTTGGGGAGCTGGACAGTTCCTGCTGGTCATCTGATTGATCACCGCCTTCCTTTTACAGATGAGGCAACTGGGACCCCGAGAGTTGAGTAGCAGGACCGAGATCACACGGCCGCTTAAAGGCAGGACCCAGGCTGTTGCCTGCAAGTCTGCTGCTCTTTCCACGACACCATGATTTTCAGATGTTCTGGGGGCGGGAAGACGCGTGTCTGGACCTGGCTTGAGTCAGAGCATGGTCCCTGCCTGGCTGGGTCGCAGAGGGAACGGCCTGCCTATTCACTGGGGCTGGGCTCCTCAGTCTCTGCTTGGCTCAGCCTCCCCAGCACAGCCTCTGCCCCCCGCTTTTCCTCCTGGTTCCCCAGCTCCCTCCCTCTCCCTGCCTCCCGGGGTAGCAAAGGCTCAGCTCCAAGTTGCTCCTCTCCTGATTGCATCTGAGAGCAGGAAGCGCAAGGCTAATGAATCTGTCTGTGACTCTGGGCTTGGCCGCTGGGCCCGAGTCCCCGTGCCCTCCCCGGAGCCCGGCAGGCCCTGTGAGCTGGCCCTCCGACATCTCCACGGGTGCGGCCGAAGCATATTTCCACCATGCACATCTGCTGGCTCTGTAGCCTCTCGCATTTGCCCTCCTCACTCGGTGCTTTGATGGAAGACCCTGGGGGACCCCTCTGCTCCAGCCAAAGTGTTTGCTTTGCAGTGTTGCCAGAGCACCATCTGATTCTGCTCTCACGTCTTCCGCAGGTTCTAATCAGGCCCTGACTTTATTTAATTAAAAATCGATCTCAGGCAAATACAGACTGAATTAGGAAGCTCTCTCATTCCTGGAGCACGGGCAGGGCTGCCACCCCCCCCCCCAACCCCCTCGGGGAGCCGGCTGGGACATTTTCCCAGGCTGAGATGTCACAGCCGAGCAGATGGGGTCTTGGTTGGGAAGCTGGCTGGGCAGGGTAGAGACACCCTGGTCCCCTCTGCCGGAGCAGCTGCTCTGTCTGTCCGCCACGGTGAGCAGACCAGGGCTCCCTTTCCAGATGGCTGGCGAGCTTCTGCTTGTCGGGCCTCCCTCCAGGGCAGTAGGTGGGGCTGTACACCGCAGAGAAACTCAGCCAGGCGGTACCTCAGGCAGAGCCGGGCAGGCCAGCCAGGGTGGGGCCGGCAGGACCAGCTCAGGGCTCAGGGGTGGGGCCTGGGGTGGCCCTGAGGAGTCCGGAGGACTGTAGGCAGAGCCTGGGGGAGCTCTCTCATCCCCAGCGTTAGCTTGTTTTGGAGGAATTGTTTCAGTGGAGTGTGCACGAGAGGTGCCTGCTCAGGCTCCCTTCCTGGCTCTCAGGAATTTTACCCAGAGCATCCTGCTGGGGCCCTGGCAACTCCCCCTTCTGCCTCTTCAACTGACCCCCATCTCTATATATAAAAGGATAAGTGACCGTCCATCTGTCCATCTGTCTGTCCAACCGGCTGACTGGCTGGTACATATGACTCGCACTGGCAATTTAAAAATAAACGTTGATGCTCTGACTGGTTTGGCTCAGTGGATAGAGCATCAGCCTGTGGACTGAAGAGTCCCGGGTTCGATTCCAGTCAAAGGCATGTACCTTGGTTGCGGGCACATCCCCAGTAGGGGGTGTGCAGGAGGCAGCTGATCGATGTTTCTCTTTCATCGATGTTTCTAGCTCTCTATCCCTCTCCCTTCCTCTCTGTAAAAAATCAATAAAATGTATTTTTTTAAAAAAACATCTTCCCTGCACCACCCAGCTCTGTAACCAGAGGCAGTGCCAGGCAGTGGCATTAGAGAGGGAGGGGGGGACAGCTGCCATTTAGTTGTGACCCCAGACAAAGTCAAGTCTGTTTAGACGAGACCCCAAGGCCCTGCTCTCAGAAGCACGACCCCCAGCCGGATAAAGGGGATTCTACTGGCATTTAGGGACGCGGAGGGCAGGCAGAGAGCTTTGGCTTGGAGTGGGAGAATCTGGGGTTAATTCTGAGTGTCATTAAGCTGTGTGACCTCCTGTAAGGGCCTTTGCCTCTCGGAGTCTTGCTTTCCTCACCTGTGACACAGTTGGAGTCACTGGGACTTTGTTATCCAACCGTCTGCTACCAGGACAACCACTTCAGGAGGAGATGCATCTATTTTAGTTCCCGCGTGAGGCATGCGTGAGTGGGCCATGCCCAGGTCCTTCTCCCTTTAGCTTCCTTTGGTGCCCGCTGGCAGGGCCCCAGGAAGCAGAAGGCGGGTTCTTCCGAGCATGGGGCTGAGTAGCCTCTGAAGAGGGAGACCCTACAGCTCCACTGAGCACATCTGTCCTGGCCTTTTGCAACCCCCTCTCCCTTCAACCAGGAAAGCTATTAGGCACCAAGTCTTCCTCTTCTCCTCTTCTCTCCCCTCAGTCCCCATACCTGTTCCCGTCCCGGGAGAGATGGCAATGGCGGTCCCGCCCTTCCACGTCCCTGATCACTTTCCGGAAGGCCCCTTCCTGACCACACCCCCCCAGCCTTCTAACCCTGCCCACCCGCTGGCTTCCCTCCCTCCTTTCATGGTGGGCGGAGGAGACCAAAGGCGGCAGGAGGCTCTGGGCTTGGCCCCAGTTCCTCCCCCGTCTCCAGCAGCCAGGCTCCGAGTCTGGTAAGCGGTCCTCCGGGGCCTGCCTGCTGGGCTGGGGCTAATCTGCCTGCACGCTGGCCGTGTAGATCTGAAGATAACCTGACACAGTCGTAAATATTTCATCTCCGCGTGGCCATGCGCCTCATCTGCCGGGCGAGGAGGCAGCACCCCGGCGCTGACCCCGTTGTCAGAGCATCTCAGCAGCTGCCGAGAGGTGGGAGGGCAGAGCCGGGGTCAACCTCTTCTGGCTGCTGAGCACCAGGCGCCTGGCAGAGGCTCCCCGAGGAGGCAGTGAGGGGGTGCGCAGAGTCCGGCCGGCAGACCCTGGGCCGGGCCCTATGCTTCTCGGAGCCTCGGTTTCTCATTTGGGGCAACAATTCTGTCCCACAGACTTGCATCGAAAGAGTGAGGAAGGAGAAGTGGACATGCTTTGAGAGTCGCTGTCAAGAGCTACTATGACTTATGTCCCAGGCGGATGGTCCCCAGTAACATCTCGCAGAGGAAGGAGGTGACTCTTAAGACAGTGGTTCTCAATCTGTGGGTCGTGACCCCTTTGGGGGTCGAACGACCCTTTCACAGGGGTCGCCTAAGACCATCAGAAAACACATATATAATCACATATTGTTTTTGTGATTAATCACTATGCTTTGATTATGTTTAATTTGTAACAATGAAAATACATCCTGCCTATCAGATATGTACATTAGGATTCATAACAGTAGCAAAATTACAGTTATGAAGTAGCAATGAAAATAATTTTATGGTTGGGGGTCACCACAACATGAGGACCTGTATTAAAGGGCTGCGGCATTAGGAAGGTTGAGAACCACTGCTTAAGAGGTAGTGAGCCCATTCCCCGTCTCTAGGCAGGTCTACCCGAGGGTGGCGGGGGGTGGGGGGCACCTGTTCAGGCAGGGTGTCCCAGGGACACCGGGCTCCTGTGAAGCCGAGATGAAGAGATACCCAGAGCAAAGGTATGATTGGGACTAAGAGCCTGAAGTGAGTTTCCCAGGCAGCCCAGGGTTCCCAGGAGCAGGGAGGGGGAAGGAACGGGCAGTGGTGGTCCCTGTGGATGCTGACATCACGGGGCCAGTCCAGCTCCAGGCGGATTCTGATGGGGAAGTGGCTACCTGGGGCTGTTAGCACCCCGAGGGAGGTCAGTCCAGAAGGAAGTGACTCAAAGATGTGTCCCAGACTTCTCTGTCTCCATGGCCCAGATACAGCAGAAAACATTCTCTGATCGAATACGCGAGCCTCTGGGAGCCTTATTTGCTTCCCGGCCGGATAAACACACTGGGGTTGGACAAGGTCACAGGCAGGTGGCATTGGCCTTCTGATTTCTAGGGCCGGGGGTTACTGACACACTGGGGCCGAGGCCAGAGCCCTGGGGGACAATGTCTGGGGCTTTGCCCAGCAGGAGGCCTGTGAAGGAACCTTCTGGAACGAGTGCCAGGTTTCCCATAGTGCCCTTGCCCCACGCGCGCGAGGTCGGTTCTTACCCAGGACGGTGAGGCGCGCGGGGCGGGACCGGATGCGGCCTGGATGGCCTGGCACTCGTACACCGCATCGTCTTGCAGCTCTGCCCGCAGATCTTCAGGTGATGTTCTCCCGACAGTGGTTCCCCACCACCAGGTACTGCGGGTAACCTGTGGACACAGCAGGCGTATCACGGGGGCTGGTCCAGGGGCGGAGGCGACATTCATGATACGCAGGACAGCGGCACACACCTAGGCGGGGCTGCTCTGTCTCAGAGGCCCAGGGCCCAGGGGTGAGCACAGAGGTGAGTCTCCCCAGGGTGCTGGGCAGAGTGTGCATGTGTATAAGGGAATGGGCGATGTTTGGTTTAGGAACGGGGGAAGCTATTGCTGGAGATGGGAGGAGAGAACGGGAGGGAAACGCTAAGTGTGGACAGACACAGCGGGCCTGTTACTCCTGAAAGTGGTGCACCCAGCAGACGTGCATTTTGATAAGGGCACACAGGGAGACAGCGAGACCCAGGCTGAGACCCACAGACAGAAGGTAGAGTAAGAGAGAGAGAGAGGGGGGATAAAGCAGGAAACGATTGGGGAAAGGACTAAGAGTGACTTTGGGGCCCGGCCGGCGTGGCTCAGTAGTTGAGCATCGACCTATGAACCAGGAGGTCATGGTTCGATTCTTGGTTAGGGCACATGCCCGGGTTGCGGCTCGATCCCCACTGTGGGGTGTGCAGGAGGCAGCCAATCAATGATTCTCTCTCATCATTGATGTTTCTATCTCTCTTTCCCTCTCGCTTCCTCTTTGAATTCAATAAAATATATTTTTTTAAAAAGAGTGACTTTGGGAAGAGCTTGTTTTGGGATGCGGGATCTAGCCCACCCTACCATGCCCAGGAGCCTCCGGTTGCTTTGAACCATTGTGGCCCCTTTCTCGTCACTCCTCCTCCCAACCCTGAACCCCAGGGTCTGACTAAACACTTAGAAGGTGCTCAGGACACTTAGGAATTTGGGGCCCCTTGTACTGCTGGAGATGGATAATTCTATATAATAAAAGCCTAATATGCAAATCGACCGAACGGCAGAACTACTGGTGGAACAACCAGGTGCTATGACATACACTGACCACCAGGGGGCAGATGCTCAACGCAGGAGCTGCCCTCAGCCCACAGGCCCCAGGCCAGCCAAGGTGGGTGCCAGTGGGGGCCCCCTGATTGTCCCTCCAGTGGCCCCATAGATAGGCCCTGATCGCCAGCCAGGCCTAGGGACCCTACCTGTGCATGAATTTTGTGCACCGGGCTTCTAGTGAATAAATAAAAGCGTGAGCACGATAAATCATCGACTGGCTTTCCTGCTGCTGTGTGGGTGGACTGTACAGGCCGACGTAAGTCTTAGCGGTCAGGGTGGGCAGGTCCTCTTTCCTGGGTCTTGGGCCCTAACGCCCCTGAGTTCCTCTCAGCAAGACCTGTCCCCTTACCTGAGCTCTGCCCTACGCTCCCCCCTCCCCAGTCCCTCTGAGGGCACTCCCCCCGTCCTGGTCCCCTTCTCTCCTCAGAGGCCTGTCCACCCTTGGACAATCCCAAACTGCTCCTCTTTTGAAAGGACCTTTGCCAGGACCGTGTGACTTCTCAGAAAGGTGCCCGAGGAGGGGGGACTGAGCACACTTGGCCTTTAAAGGAGAAGACTCGGGCTTATGCAAGTGGGAGACGTACGCAGAGACAGACAGTGGGACTGCAATGTGTACCTCTCTCTCCTCAAATATTTCAGTCCCTGAGAGTGGGGAGCTGTGTTTTTGTGCCTCCCACGGACAGCATTGGCACGTATGGGCCCAAGACCCAGGAAGGAGGACCTGCCCACCCTGAATATTAAGTCACGGGGAAATGCTGTTAGAATATTGCTAACAAGTTGAGGTGTCCGACCAGGTTCTGGCCTGCAGAAGTGGTAGTGAGGTCTCCGTCACTGGCTGTATTCAAGGTGAGGTTGTGTGATCATCTGTCAGGGACACTGCAGAGGAGAGGTCTACCCTGATCAAAACATTGGTGCTCCAAGGCCCCTTCCACCTCCATAAGCTGAGGGTCTTCCAGGGGCGGGGCAGGGTTCCCTGGGGCTGGGCTGTGCAGGGCCACCCAGGCCTGGTCCCCGCAGGTAGCTGCAGTCCTCTGCCAGGTTTCCCAGTATGCTTTGTGGGTGGTCCTTGTGCGGCCGAGCCCTTGAGGCTCACGTCTTCATGGCTAGCATTGTCTCTGCCCTCCACAGCTGTCAGGCCTGGCCAGAGAGGCTCACAGAGCAAGCAGCTGTGTCCTGCCTGCCCTTCCCGCCCTCTGCTGGGCTAGGGGAAGGAGCCCAGGTGAGTCAAGGGCTGGAAATGGCTCCTAGCCCAGTCCTCCCCCTGCTGCTGCTGCCTTCAGTGCTACCCACGCCAGCCCTCGGCCCAGCCCCTGGATCCCGCTGTCCTGCGATTAGTCCCCGCTCTCCCGCAGGCGGCTTGGCTGAGCTTGTGTTTTTGTTGTCTTGCAAGCAAGCGATCAGCCACGATTCCGCTCTCAGGAGCTGCTGAAAACATCAGTGATGGGTTTGTTTGTATTTGCCTAATTAGGCGGCAGAGCTGTGATGCCGTCCCAGGGCCTGGCAGCATCTTCAGAAAACATCAGCCCAGAAGCCGGGAGTGGGAGGCCGTTCTAGCTCCCCCCACAGCATCCTCGCTCTCTCTTGCTACCTCAGGGGAGGAAAATGAGAGTCTGGGGTCTGCAGTCAGTTTGCCTGGGTCAAATGTCAGCTCGGTCACTCGCTCCACGTTTGCTTTTACTCCTTCGTGCTTCTGTTACCAGTAAAGTGGGAAATGCTAGTACCTCACAGAGTTCTGGGCACCGTTACACAGGATAATCTACGTAAAGGGCCCGGCACATAGTAAATAGACTATAAATGCTGGTTGAAATGAAAGTGACCGGGAGGTGGGGCAGCAAAGAGCCATCTTTCTAAGTGAGAACTGACCGGGCGTCTGGGCCTTTTGGGGGTTGGGAGCCGGGCACTGGGCTTTGGTATAGGTTTGAATCAACTGCTTTCTCAGCGGTGACTCTGTTTACCCGTCACATGAAGGAGAAAATCCTTCCTTTTCTCCCTGTGGATCGTTGGATATTGATGAGACAATATCTGAGCTTCTTAGAAGAAAAATGTTCTATCAATATGAGGGTGTGTATTTATAAATCTCTTCCTTTGACTGTTTTTTTTCCCCCCCAGCCGTGGTGACCAGAGAGACAGTGAGGCCCTGCACGGACAGCTGGGGGTGCAGGGGAGGGTAAGGCAGGGGCGGGGTCCAGGCCCTCCCGGGAGGTCTGGGGGTACTCACTCGAGAGGTCCCTGCCCACGCCCAGAGCCAAGCCGTCCTTGATCCAGAGAACGAAGCCGTCATATTCCGGGATGGCACAGAGCAGCGTCACCGGCTGCCCCGACACCACGGCCTGGTCCTGGGGCTGCTGGCTGAAGGAGTACACTTGGCCTGGGGAGGAGACAAGCAGAGCGGCCGGTTAGTACAGGGAGCAGGGCCCAGGCTGGCCCAGGGGGCAGGTCCCCCCACCTCCCGGAGCACCTCCCGTCCTGCCTGGGGCCCAGCAGCTACCTCCTCACTGCTCCCCCCTCCCCCCGGGGCCAATCCCCTGTTTCAGAGCTGAGTCCCCACTGGAGCCCCATCCACCCCTAACTTCCCTACACTCACACCTGGTCCAGCCATCCTCCCCCCACAGGGCTGTGCCCCCCACTCATTGTTCTTGGGACCCCCCCCTCCCTTTCCATCTGGCTAACTCTTACATGAACACCCCCTTGCTTGTACCCACTTTCCACGCAGGACAGAGACCCCCCCCCCCCCCCGGGCAGCGTTCTGTGTGGGGTGTGCTTCAGAGCAGTGGACGTGGGAGTGGTGAGCTGTGGTTAAATCTGAGAATCCAGGAAACAGTATTGTGTTAGGGCAGCAGTTCTCAACCGGTGGGTCGCGACCCCTTTGGGGGTCGAACGACCCTTCACAGGGGTCGCCTAAGACCATCAGAAAACACATATATAATTACATATTGTTTTTGTGATGAATCACTATGCTTTAATTATGTTCCATTTGTAACAATGAAATTGGGGGTCACCACAACATGAGGAATTGTATTAAAGGGTCGTGGCATTAGGAAGGTTGAGAACCACTGTGTTAGAGGCTCAGGATGGGCCTCAGGCCGAGTTCACCAGGGGGAGCGGTGCGCAGTGTGGCGGGGGGTGTGCCATGAGGGAGCAGGTCTCACGTCCACACATCAGCCTGTCCCTTTCCTTTCTGCAGCAGACCCTACCCCAGCCTCACTGTCACTGGGAGAAGGCCATACCTGTGACCCCGTGCCTCCCCTATATACCTCAGTGAGATGGCACTGAGCCATCTGAGCCAGCCAGTCCCTACTTTATTAAACACAATGGCAGCGTGTACAACACACCAGGCTTGGGCTAGGACTTAAAATATCAGCTCATCAATGTTTTCATCCCCGTACCAACCAGATGAGGCACAAGGAGGTGCGAGGTAGTCACAGGGCCTGCGATTGTTACCGACAGACCAGGTGCCGACCGCACCTTCCCTGGAGCGGGGGCAGCCCCCACAGGGGCCCTTATCACCCCATTTCACAGGGTTAAGAACCGGAGCCTCAGAGGCTAACCGAACTGTTCGGTGCATCCAGGGGCAGGACGAGGCTGCGGATACAAGTCTTTTTGGCTCCAAAAGCAAGTTCTCATCTGCTGAGCTATGCTGCATGCAGATCCCTGAGCCTGGTCCTGGAGGGGTCGCCGAAGAAGGGGGTGCTGTGACCGCGTTCCCGGGAGGCCCCGCTGAATGGACAACAGGGCAATGACAGCTACTGAGCTCCTGCCCGCAGTGCGACCATGCCTCCTGTGACTTAAGAAATTACATCACGGGGCGGAAATAGCCCCACGTTCCCGCAAAGACACCAGGATCAGAGAGGCAAAGTAACCTGCCTGAGGTCGCACAGCTGATGAGTGACGGAGCAGGGGTCTGAGCTGGGGTGCTCTGACTCCCAAGCACCCCTTCTTTCCCACACCCTGCTCTGCAGCTACTGACCGCCCAGGAAAGCTGGGCCCGGCTGGGCTGCTGCCTGGCCTGTCCTCCTCCTGGGGTCAGGATAGCCCCGAGGTCTGAGACACAAGGGCCCAGGCTCAGGCCACAGAGCGGGCTAAGGGGCTGCTGGTGTGTGGCTCCAAGGGGAGCAGGCAGGTGGCAGCACGCGTGGCGGTGCCCCCTGGAGGAGACAGAGTCCACATGCCGTGACAGTCCGTGCTGTGGCAGGTAGCTGAGCCCACCGCCTGATCAGATCTTGGCTGGTCGCCGAGGAGTCTCATTAACAATCACATGGGCACTGAATTGTGGGAGAAGCACTTTTTATTCCGAGCCGAGCTTTACCGATGAGATTTCACAGGACGTTTTAATCAGCGATGTGAGGTGGGGTTGTTTTTTTTCCCCTCTCTGTCTCTTCTGTTTCTCGGTTGTAATTAGATAGTTTCTGGCACCAAAACAAGAGCGAGAAGGAGGGAAGAGATGAGAGAGGAGGAAGGAGGTGGGAGAAAGAGCAGGAGGGCGAGGGGCCAGGTGAGGAGAGCAGGAGGAAAGGGGGCCTGGAGGGGAAGTAAGAGGAAGAGCAGCGAGAGGAGGAGGAGGAGTGGGGAGCGGAAGGAGGGGAGGAAAGGGGAGGGAAAGGGGTGCAGAAGCCACACAGTGGGAGGGCGTGGGGGGAGAACATTCTGAGGTTCTTCTCTGGGCTCTCATGATGATTCCTCAGCTCATTCTTTTATCCCCAAATCGTTCTCGCAAGAAGGGCAGCGTGCAGACAGCCGCGAGAGCTGCCGAAGAGTGTGCTATCAGAGAGAACGATCAAGCTGCCAGCAGGGAGCTGAGGGGTCAGACTGAGAAGGCCTTAGCCAAAACGGGGCTCAAGTCCTCAGAAATGTCCATTGATGGGGACCCCCTGAAAGGGCAAGCATCCCATTGGTCCCCCACCCCGAGTCCTGCTTCCTCTTGTGGCTGGTGGGCATAACTAGAGAGCTGGGCGCAGGAGGCATCCCAAGGGGCTGGAGGGGCGGGGCTGGGTGAGTCCTGGACGGAGAGATACCCCAGCGTGACGGTGGTACCCTGAGGGAGAAGAGGACTGTCGCCATGGAAACAGGCTCTAGAGGAAGGCAGGCTGGGAGGAGCGCTGTGAGGAAGCAGGCCTTGGCAGTGAGACTGAGGAGTCCCTGTTTCACTCTGGAGGGTGTCTCGAGGCCAGGAGTTGGAGCAGGCAGAGGAGCCCCCCAGATTAGACCTGGGGCCTACAGACCGGAGCCCGAGGGGATGGGGGAAGAGGAGTGGCCCACCTGGGGGGCGGTCTCAGGTCTCCATCCCAGCATCTGCTGCTCACTCTCTGTGTGTTCGGGTCCCCCAGCTTTTCTCTGGGAAGGATGTTTCTGGGGGGCAGGGGCGGGGGGAGAAGGACACAAGGACAGTCTCAAAAAACCACCCAAAAGGCAGAATTTGCAAATTATTTTCGGACAGGGAATGGCTAGTGCTTTAACTGAAGATTTTTTTTTAAAGTCTAATTTTAATTTTTACACATCCAATACAAGACACGAAAAGAAAAAAACAACAACACAAGACGCTAAAAGACCCTGTTTTTCTTTTAAATCAATGGGATGCTTTTCCAAACAGAATCGTGAGCCCATTGTCACTCCCTAGAGAGAGATAGTTGAGGTGCTGTGGATGGAGAGGCGGGGAGGGAGGGGCACTTCTCTTCACCCCTGGGACAGACCCTGCGGCCTCTGCTTCCAGCTCAAGACCCCAGGAACACAGATGAGAGTCCCGGGGTAGGTCCTCGCCCAAAGCATGCCCTGACCTCCCCTCACTCCCGTTTCCAATCCCCGTTTCCTACTCGGAACAAGTGACGTTTGAGTGAGCCTGGGACCATTTCCTATAGCCGGCTGGGTATTGTGTTAAGCAGACAGGAAGCCCCTTGAGAACAGCTGTGTCTTTCACACACGTTCATCGAGACCTGCTATGAGGCAGGTATTGCAACCTCTGAGGACAGGTGGGTCTGACCTGGCCCTTCCCTCCAGGAGCTTATGCCCGTATCCCCATCGCCTGGACCATTCTGTCCTGAGTACAGAGTATGTCCTGCTCTCAGCACACCTCGCACCCTTGGTCCCAGGTGTTCTGCCCTCAGTTTCCCCATTTTGTCCCATGACGTTCTCCTGGGTGTGGAGCCTGGCCCAATCCGAGGGGCCTCCCTTTTCAGGTTTTTATTTTTTAATCGGTCCCATCACCCAAGTTCCCGCCCAGCCTCTTTCTTTAGGATCCACCCTATCCTCTCCCATTCCCCCCCGCACAACCCCAAAGTCCAGGCCCTCATGGCCTCCAACCTGGCTGCTCAAAACCAGGCCATGAATGCTTTCAGGTAACGCCCCTGGATTTTCTTTCGAAATTGCCCCCATCCTCATATCTCCCCCCTCTTCAAGAGGTGGA